CCTACTACCAATTGAGGATGACGGAAGCCGTTTCTTCGAGCCGACTTACATCCGCCAGTGGCAGGGTTCATGCCATGAGGAGCGCACAAGTCTCATATTTTCCGTAAACGATATGACGTGACTATAAGTACTGGAAAGCCGGGGTGCAGCTTCTGTGTATACAAGTATTACAACGTCTTCGCATTCTGGGGCGTATTCTCCTATATTATTGAGATTTCTCTCGCTCAGTTCTATGCTCTCGACTTGCATCCGGAGGATAGCTTCAGTCGAGACCTAGTACACGCACCGTGAAGCCGACCTTTGCGCTGGCACAAGAAATTCGCAATAGGCGCCAAGGGGATCTAGCGGCAATCAGCAGTGCCTTGCTTGGCCAGATCATGTGATCCCCGGAGTCCGGCGGAGTCCGCCAGACTCGCTGGACTCAACGGTCTCGATGTTCTCGCAGCGTCGCTCCCTCCACCGCGTCCAGCGACGCCTTCAGGAACAGAGTTCGCACCGGACGGACGAGAAGCGCGCCGCACAGCAGCGCACAACCCCCATGACGCTGCTTCTCCCGCACTCCCCTGCATCTTGGCAACCAGACAATTCGCCGGCCGTGCTTCGCCCTGGGAAGCTTTCCTCGCCCCCAGCACCCACCTTCCTTTTCGACGCGGTGCCCCTCTCGTGCGATCGCCGGCGGCCCAATTGCACGCGGGCGGCGGAATGCTGTCGTCCAAGCAGGGCTCTCTCTCGAGTCCTCAGCTGCTGGCCTCTTTACGTCTGTCGTTTCGCCCGACGCTGAATACCGAACGGGCCGCGTAGAACAGGTGGGGAGCCGCGCGGACCTCGCGGGTGACTAGGCGTGGCAGGCACGACTGATACCGTCAATGTCTGACTCTGCCGTGGCAGCCGTCAGCCGCCAGCCGCCCGCTCAGCGCGTCCGTCCCTGTACTCAGCGTCCCGCCATATGTCCACATACTTACCGCAGATACTCTGCGCACACGAGGGGGTTTGGGGATGGACAGGGACCCCTTCGCCTGAGCCCTGTTTACGCTGCGACGCCGCGACTCGGACACGTCTGGCAACCTACAGGCGGCGGTTCAGTCGGCTATGGACGCAAGATGCTGCATGCAGAGGACGGTACGTGTTGCAGGGTCGATTCAATGCAACTGAAGCGCTTGGTGATCTGCAGAGACGCGACCGATCGAGTGTCACCGAGGCCGCTACGCCTGACATTTGATGGTTCATGATTATTAGTATGCGATAGCGAACCAAGGCCTCGCATAGCCTATACAACCTCACAATTCTCCTGACGGCATCCCGATTCCGCAGCGCATGTACCCGAAGGTGGCACAACGTAGAGTTCATAGCTGAGGCCATCGAGCTTCTTACCCGCCCATCTCGTGCATCATCGACCAGGCTTTGTGGTTGTGGTGGTTGTGATTGTGGTTGTGATTAGCAAATCTTCGTTCATCGCTGCTCCTGACCCATCAAGATACGCAGCGAGTACTGAAGTGCTGCACCTTCAGATCAATGTTTCTGCGCGAGCCCAGCGATCGGGGAACGCCCTGGTCTGTCTGTACAAAAGCAAAGACTCGTGCTCAAACTGGTGGAACCAGCGATAGCAATGTACATACATTAAGCCGTGGGTACTCCCCAGCTCAGAGCGGCGAACATGTTCATTGTGATTGCGATGGTGTCCACTCCGCTCTCCGTCCATTTGTCCGCGATCTGCTCTTTTCCCATTTTGAGATCGCTCTCCGCCGTCGTATTTGGGCTGGAGGTACCGCAAGGGCAATGCCCCTTGGGCGCCGCCGCCCTCGTCCTCTTCGACCTTGTTATTGCCGCCATCACGACCACTGGGAACGCTGCTCGTGCTCACCGTGAACGGTCGCACGGCCGCCAACGGCGAACGTACTTGCGTCTTGGAAATATTGTCATGGGAAACGCCGCTCGAGAAGCGATTGAGGACAGATGACAGACCTCATTTGCTTTCTCGAACAGATGCCGTCAATTTCGGCGACATCTTCCATCTAGCAGCTAGCACGAACGAGCTTCTACAGGCATCACTACTTACACCGGACCACGAGAACAGCAAGGGTAACACCTCGAGACCGTATGGAGCGCATCTAAAGCAGAGTCCTAACTTCCTATCTGTCATAACCAAGCCCATCGGACGACATGTCCTCCTACACATGCGCCCTCACCGTCACTTCTAGTCTACTTACCGCATGTCATACCTAGCAGGAGGCGACCCCAAGCCCGAGCGAACCCGCAAGCCATACATCCTCCTCAGCCACCGCACAGCCTGCCGCGCCATTTGGGCGTCGTGGTCCTCCCTCCCTCCCCCCTTCCCGTTCCCCATGTCCGCATCAACGGCGTCCCAGCCGCCACCGACGTCTCCGTCGTCCGTTTCCGCGTGCACGTCCGCGTCCGCCGCAGACGCGTACCCCACCATGTCGCTCAGCGCGTGCACGAGATCCCGGGAGACCGCGAGGCGGTCCCGCACCGCGAGCGCCAGCACGGCCTGCGCGCACTCCAACAGCATCGCCATCGTGGGCCGGCAGTCCGCGGCGCGGGAGACCGGCATCGAGAGGAAACACTCGAGGTCGTGCAGGACGCCGAGCAGCGCGGGACGGACGGCGGCGTAGTCGTCTGCGGAGTCGGTGTCGTCGGCGTCCGCTCCTTCGGCTTCTTCGTCGTCTTCGTCGGACGGCGCAGAGATCTGGAGCGGCTCGGAGTACAGCGTGCTCGAGCTCACGAACGACCTGTCGAAGGAGCGCTTGTGGGCGGATTCCAAGGAATATGCGCTGGAGGGCGAGAGGAGCGTGTTGCCCGTGCTGAGCTCTGGCACGACTGCGGATCCCGACCTGCTCGCCGCGCGCGCGAGGACCGCCGAAGCGCGGATGACCATGTTACATGCCTGGAAGAAGCTGTAAGGTGCGTTCTCCAGGCGCGTCTGCTTGCTGTATGCGCAGAACGCGGCTATGCCTGAACCGTTGGGACGCTTGGTGAGAGCTGACTCCGACGCAGCTGGAGAATTAAAACACGTACAATCCGGGCCCACTGCTTGGAACCTTGCAAACAATTTGCGCATTAGGTTGAACGACCGTTCCCTGACGAAGCGCTCGGGGGTCGTACGCTTGACCTCAGCATCAAGCACCCCAGCGAGCACTTCGAACATCCTGCGGAAAAGGGGGCGTGTGCGCGCGTCCGCCCCGGCTCCGTTCAGCCCGGCCTGTCCCTTCGCTGGAGCGGGTATTGCGCGGACGAGCCGATGCATAGTCATGAGGACCCGCCGCCGAGCATCGTCCTTCGTCTCCGCAGACTCCTCTTCCTCCCACTCGATCACCACATCCGAGTCCCTGCTCGCGTTCAGGCGGTGGAGTACGTCGAGCAGCAGGTTCATCAGCGTGAGCGTCCCCGTATCCCCATGTCCCCCATCCAGCGAATGCGCCAGATCCCAGTACGGCATGTCGTTCAGCACCCTCGGCGCGCGTCGCAGCAGGATGCTATCGACACACCGCAGCGCCGCGCGAGGGGCGATGTCGCGCATGCACGGCCTGACGACCGTATGCAGAAACGCGTCGTCCATGAACATCGCGTCCGCGCCCGCAAGCGTCGCATCGTCGAGCGCTGCGGCCGTCTTCCCGGTCTCCGTCTCGAGCTTCTCGCGCTCTTTCCAGCTGGCGTACGTGCGTGCGAGAGACACGCGGTGCAACCACGCCCGCACCGCCTCTCCCACGCGCGAGTGGACGAGCGCCGGCAGCTCCAGCTTGCTCGCGAAAGGGTCGGGGGTGGAGGCGCCGTGCGCCCGCTCGCGGTCGGTGAGTGGAGCAGGCTGATAGAGGCGCGCGTGGTAGTGCGAGGCGAGCGCCGCGGCGGTGCGCTTGATCCACTGCGTGAATGCGCAGATGAGCCAGGACTGCGGGGACTTGTACGGGCAGTCCGGGTAGAGAGGGGGGAGGACGCTCGTTATAAATGCGAAAAGCATCGAGACTGCTACAATAGTGGTCACGACTGCGGCAACGATGGGATGGAGTGTCCACAGCAGGTCGAGTAGTCCAATGAAGAAGAGGAGCAGGGCGAGTTGAAGGAGGATGGGGAGGCAGAGGATGATTTCCGGGACACGCCATCGGCGCATGCCGTCATAACGGTACTGGCGGATGCGGATGCTCTCGCGAGAGATGTTGGAGGAGCCCGCGAGGTACTCACGCAGCCATTGCTTGACGAGCAAGCCGAGCGATGCCGAGAGCAGACTGCACACTAGGCTGGAGAACCATAGCGTATTCAGGCGCACGGCGAACCTAGAGGGCTTGAACGGGGCTGTGAGCACTGTGGTCGCGGGCGCGGTGTTGTTGACGAACTTCGCGTTGACAGCGAAACTGTTTAACTGCGATGATATCTGAGAGAGGATGGCAGTGTGTGTGTCTGAAGGCTGCTGTTGGAGCCACTTGTAGGATTCAATATTGAACGCCGTCAGTACCGCAGAAAACAGACCAGCCTGTGAAATCAAATTTGTGCGTCAGCATCTAGTTCATCTTTGTTGTAGAGTTGGGTGCCGCAGCGTAACGAGATAGGATGCTCACGAATACGAGGAGCGTGTCAATCTCTTCCTTCCAATCTTGGATCATGTCCTCATCATATTCGCGCAAAGCTTTCGCACAAGCCGCCCACGCCTCCGAGCTGTCCCAGATGGACGGAGACCATCGCTCGCGGTCACCACTGGCACCTTGTCGCCTGCGTGGACGGTACATGAGGCCAAGACAATGAAGAGCATCGGCGACCGCTGTACCAGCATGGTTATAAGGCGGGTCCAGTACAGCCTCTCGAGCGTAGAAACTTCGCTCTTCTCATGCTGTCCTTCGGCAAGATCCGATCAATATTGCCAGGCTCCAGTAGACAGCACATACATTTCGCAAAATGTGCGATAGTTCATGCCGAAGTGATACCAGAACTTAAGCGAGTGCGTGAAACAATTTTATTACTTCTGACAGAGGTCCCTTAGCAGCAATTTGGGCGAGGGACAACAGCAGCGCCAACTATGGCTGACCGGCGAGAATGCTCAGGCACATAGAGTTTGAGAAGACTATGACATGTTCCATACAGGTCATGCATCGAAGCACTTACTCTGCGGAGGTCAATTTACCGGTAATGCGCCACGATGTACAGCCAGCAGACCTATTGAATGCTTGTCAGCGAACCGGCTTCCGGGTCAATGAGGGGAAAGAAGTAGTTCAGAAGAAGCAGGCGTATCTGCCAAAGCAGACCGCCTGAAGGTAGCTGAGATGGTTTTCTGCAAAGCAAGGCAGTCCCTTACTAAAGCCAAATGCCTCAAACATCATAACGACAAAGCAAGACTGGGACGAGCAGTATTCAAAATTCGACTCACCGCGACAACATAATCGTGAAGAGGAGCAGCATCGTATGTACGCTATGTACGTCCACGGTCGTTGGCGGGTCCGAGTCGAAATCTTGTAGAAATGCTGAGAAGCATAGACTCAACCATCCACCGTGCGTTGACCTTTAGGTGCTGGTCCAGCTTCAGCTTCAGCTTCGGTGGAAGCACTTCTCTGTCTCATTACCCTTCGGCTGCCTTTGTCTAGGATACTCATCAGCACTTGGACAGAAAGATCAAATGGAAAGAGTCACGATTAGCGGGTTCCTCTACTCTCACTGGGACACGGCTGGGCACAGCTAGCAGGTCGTTCTGATGCTTTGCAAGCACATGAGATAGACCCTGCTTCATCGCGCGCAGGTGTTGTGTTCGATGAGTGACTGCAGGCAGATCAATCACAGCCAACCAGCACGGACGCGGTTTTCTTACTGTTCGGGTGAGCAGGGGGATAGAGTCGCGACATACGCTCGCGAACCAGCTCCGCAATCCTGTTGAGTAGATTTGAACTAGGTAACATCGCAGATCTCGAGATCGACGCAGCGACATACCTTGGACTGGCAACTCCATGCGCGCAAGCCACGTCGACTACAGTCTCCCATTTAATCGGCGCAATCCGGTTTTGCATACTCTTCTCGGCAGCAGGGACGTGAGCAGCGAGCAAGGCCAGAACACGAGTCAAGAAAGCAGCACAGTCAGCAGTCAGTGCGTCAATCCCGAGTTCCAGCAGCGCAGAGTCATCCTCGTGTTCAGTGACGGGGATGGCTGAGGTACCAGATGATGCAATTGCATTGGCTACAGTGATTTCCTCTTCGTCTCTCTCTTCTGCCGCCTGCTCATTTGGATTCGTGATAGCGAGAACATGCTCAGCGATATGCTTCACTTCGTCCAACAGTCCCCATTCTGGTACATGGACGTCTCCAGCTAGGAGGGGCCACCGAGTCCGGGTGTCCCTCTCTTTGCCCTTGAGCTTGTCAAACGTAGTTTCGTGTCTTGAATGATCGCCATGAGACGTAGGTGAGGAAGCGACTGCCGAAAAGGCATCCTGAGAAGCAGTTTCAGTGCGAGGAAGTTCGTTCGGCGCTTCTTCATCTTCGTCGTCGCCGTCGTCTTCGTCGGTGAGAGATACATCGTCAGCAAAACTTGCCTGAGATACCGGAAGCGGCGGGGGCTGGGTGAGTTGGGAGACCAAGTCAAGTGTGTCGCTTGTCCGCAGAGCGCGCAGCAGAGACGAGTATTCCGTCAACTCAGCATGAAGAGCAGTGGGGACTCTGGGACGCTTGGCCATCCAGTCAAGTCAAGTACGAGTCCACAAGCATCCAGCATTAGACGCTGGATTTGATGGAGCACCAACCCCTGAGAACGTTACATAAGCAGAACTGTACAGGACCAGCAGCCTCCCATAACCCCGCACGTCCGTCGTCTCGGATCCATAGTCCACTCCATAACGAACAGCGTACGTTGCTGTTGTTTCCCCCTTTATCTGTATGTCGCTGACGCTGCTATTCGCAGTATGAGAGAGAAGTGGAAGAAAAAGAGGTCTCGGAGACTCCGTCGCAAGCGCAGAAAGATGCGGGCTCGTTCCAGTGCGTTTTGTCGGCTTTCGGCCTCATCTAGCACGTTTCTGACTTCGCCGTTCTTACCTTTCGCAGAGTAATCGGTCGAACGGCCACTAGGCTTGCAAAATAGGGATGTCATGCCACTTCATGCGCTGTATGCCATGCTATTCGGCGTCGCGAGGGTTTTATCGTCTCAGTCGCGTCGTGCCGCGCGCCCTCAGGCCCGGGGAGCGTTGGTGTCTCGATCAGGTTCCAGCGTCGAGACAGCTGTGGGGCATTGTATCAATAACACATGCATGTCATTGTAATGCAAAATCTACTCGCCCATCATGTTGTCTTTTGTGAGTGCAGTAGTGTGCTGCTCGACGCCCGACACACCAAGTGGATGGCCTCACGCATCACACGACCCTAACCAGGGTCTTCAGTTGGACGGTTTCTGTAAGTTCAGAGATGTATCTGAGTTCGTCGACGTGAAGTCAATTGATCAATATATCTGTGCCCCGCTCCCCAGTTTTAGTCCTGTCTGGTAGACGTGTGTTGGTACGCGCCCACGATCCCCCCTCCACGTCGCGGATAGTCGTGGTGCGATCCCGAAGGGCACTGGATGTGGCGATGTCGGAAACCTCCTCCCCAGGGCGCTCTCGACGTCGAACTTGAAGTTGAAGGGATCATTAGAGGTCAAGGTGAAGTTGGTGACGCTCATTTGGTGCCATTCTTACTCTGCACTGCAACAGGGCACACGTACCCAATCATCGAGGATCTATAGCCCGTCGAGGGCACCTTTTATCAATGCTCCACGGTATCTACATTTACCTCGTTTGGAGCCTTTCGGCTCTTGTGGCGGTGTAGATTCATGCCGGTGCATCGGTTCACAACGATTTCAATGTGTAGAACGCTCAGTAGCGTATATTTGAGAGAGCCCAGGGCGAAATTGCTTGGGTTATCTGACGTTCGCTCGAGATACAGACGCAAGTATTCTGAGTATTGTGGAGCGTGTGGATATATGCTTCGAGCGAGTGTGTGTCAAATTTTCTGGTACGGTGGTGCCCCGGATACCCTGGGGGCTGAACGTACCCACGCATCGCGCAGGCATCCCGCGGTGCATGGCACTGAAGAGGGAGGACCCCATACACTACCTTCCATCATGGGAACTCACCACATAAACAAGTCTCTTCTCGGAAACAAATCATTCTGCAGCAGCGTTCTCTCGAGGTCAAGTGGAGCATGATCTCGAGCGATCTCAGCCCCACTTCGAGCCTCAGTTTCGTGGCCCAGGTTCTGTCAATTATACCCTAGTCCCGACGGGTCTAACAGCCTGACCTCGCAACACGAGGATTGAGCATCTAGGGCAACGCAGCATCGATATCACAATGTCATTGTACAGGCATGCCGGCAAGATGGAGTTAGAACGCTGAGGGCAAGTCTTCCTGACTCGCAGCACTCTGATGTTCTCACGATCTCCACCTCAAGAGAGCCCTGTTTCGTTCAAGGCGACAAGTGTAGGACGCTGGTGCGCAGCCTATATAACTCCGTATACCGGAGCGGCGAGCTTCATGTGTTCCACTCCCATTCCAGCGGCACGCCCAGTGTCGGCCCGAGTCTCTACTCCATATAAGTCTCCACTCTGAGCATGGTAGCAAGAGAATACACTGCTTCCGGTCTATATGCGACTGGATCCCTCAAACGACACGGTCCTTCATGAACGTCACGTTCCTCACCGATAGCCCGCTCAACTCTACTGTCGTCGACCTCAACGGCGGCGGGCACCTCTACGACATCTCTACAGAATTCGACGCCAAGTCTAGAACAGTACGGTACAGGACGACACTCAGTGATAAACTCGGGGCTGTGAAGACAAGGATTAGATCCGACTAGAGTCGAAGCAAGATCTTCAGTCAGTAAGGAAAGACTATATTGCAGTAACCAACTGTACCTAGAGTCGAAGCAAGACTACAAAGGTTAAGTAAGTAACTACAAGTTAGAGGTAAAGGTAATGAAGTACTCACTCTTCAGTCAGTAAGGAAAGACTGAAGAGGGAGGACGCAATCTGAAGTCCTTATATACTACAGAGAAGTGTCCATGACTAATCGAAGAGTGGTTAGTCACATGTACCATAGTGCGATGAATAATACGATGGTGAAAGAATTGCGACGTATCGCACCATAGGATGAGTAAGAGATGAGTAAGGCATAGACCTGTCTAGACCGTTCTGGAGTAGTACGGATTGTCCTAGACAGTACCAGAAGAGTCCGGAAACATAGCTATAGTACACGAGCAGAGAGTCCCAAATATGGTAACATACTACATAAGCGACTACAG